GGATTGGTGCTGTGACCACTTCCCTGGGGAGTCTGTTCCAGTGCTCAACCAACTTCTCAGTGAAGAACCTTTTCCTAATATCCAACCTGAACTTCCCCTTTCACAGCTCCATGCTGTTCCCTTGGGTCCTGTTGCTGTCACCAGGGAGCAGAGGTCAGCACGTGCACTTCTGCTCCCCTTGAGAAGAAGCTGCAGCCCACCATGAGGCCTCCCCTGGGCCTCCTCTTCTCTACACTGATTAATCCAAATGATCTCAGCCTCTCATTGTACTTCTTGCCCTCTAGACCCTTCACCATCTTCATAGCCCTCCTTTGGACACTCTTAACAGCTTTATACATTTTTTATACTGTGGTGCCCAAAACTGCACACAGTGCTCAAGGTGAAGCCTCACCAGCACAGAGCAGAGTGGAACGGCCACTTCCCTTGAGCTGGGCTGCTCTCCAGCCTCTCGTCCCCCAGTTTATATGCATAGACATTATTGCCCCGTCCCAGGTGCAGAATCCAGCACTTGCTCTTGATAAACTTCCTGCAGTTGGTGATTGCCCAGCCCTCCAATTTGTCAAGATCTCTCTGCAAGGCCGCTCTGCCCTTAAGGGAGTCAGCAACTTCTCCTAATTTAGTATCAGCTGCAAACTTACTTAGCTTGCATTCCAGTCCTGCATCCAGATCATGTATAAAATATTGAAGAAAACTGGCCCCAAAATGGAGGCCTGGAGAACCCCATTAGGGACTGGCTGCCAGCATGGTGTAACCTCATTTGTAACCTTTGAGCCTGATCTGTTGGCCAATTGTTCACCCATTGTAGTATGTATTTTTATTCTTTTATCCAGAGAGATACTTTGAAAAATGGTATAGGAAGCTTTGCTGAAATCCAGAAAGATTACACCAACTGGCTTCCCTTGGTCAACTAGATGGGTAACCTTACCATAAAAAGAAGTTTAGTTAGATAAACAGGACTTTCCTCTTGTGAACCTGTATTGACTGTGACCAATTAGCTATTGTCTTGCAGATGTTTTTCAATATCTCCCAGAATAATATTCTCCATAATTTTATCAGGCACTGAAGTGAGACTGACTTCTTTCTTGCTCTTCTTGAGAATTGGAACAGTTTTTGCCAGTTTCCAGTTGACTGGGACCTCTCCAGATTCCCAAGACTGTTGAAAAATAATTATGAGACATCTTCCAATGACATAAGTATTAAGTTATAAGTAAAATGAAAGCTATATTTTTCCTTCAGATCATGAAAATTCAGTCCAAAATCTTTGCTGCCAGGCTGTGGATTTAAAGATTGAAAACATTTTCAGACTACAGTTGTTTAGTTGTTTAAGGAAATCAAGGGACTATATCTCCAGTGACACTTTACCTGTTGTTGCTGCTTTTTAAATCCTTGGTCTTTCCCTGTAGTCCATCAATAAAATCCATCACTTTGCAAAACAGTTAAAAATAGGTTAATTGTCGTATAAAATGGATACATGAAACACAAGGCAAATTGTTGCATAGTGAGCAGGAAATAGCACTGGCTAACTACAGTATCAAATAGATAAAATATCAAAATTCTTTTTCATGTGTAGGTCCTTTTCTTTGCTTTTGTTCAGAGCTATGTTTACATTTCTGTTTGTCCTGTAGTTACAGTTACCAAACTCTGAATTAATTTCTTCTTTCATCTTTCTTTGTGGGGGTGCCGATATGTTTGGGTTCAAGGTCTAAAATTCAAAGCTATAACATGCAATGCATCTGCTCATTGGTCAAACAGACCAACCTCTGAGAAACTTGGGTAAGGGGAATGTGGACGTATGAGCAACATGGTGTATGATTCTCCCTGCACTTTCTTTTCTCTCTGTTGTGAGGTACACTACAAAAGGTGCATCAACAAATTTGCCCCCAGGGTGCTCCATCCAGAACATTTTTCTCTAAGCTGTGCAGTTTGACAGTAGAGGTGCTGTGAGAGTTCATGGATGAATGAAGCATTATTCATAAAACAACAAACACAGTAGCCTAAATGCAAATCTATTGCCAAGAGGCCTGATGGATACAATAAGACTGTGAACTAAAAGAAAAGCTAGAAACATTCTTCTTCCATGTTTGACCACAGGAAACATAGAAACGCTTTACCTCCCTAGTTAAAAAAAAAAAAAAAAAAAAAAAAAAAAAAAAAGTTGTGGATAATAAGGTATTGGACCTTGTTTTAGAGTTCTTTATAGAACCATTTACTCTAGTATCAACTGCAAATATACTGAGGAGTTGAAGTACACACTAAAAACATTTCAGTAAGCTTCTAGGTGTATATGCAATATTTTCTAAACAAAAAATACAAGATCTCAAATATGTATTTAATTTAAATGAAAAAGCCATTAAAACACATGAGAGTCTTCTAAGCCTTAAGTGAAGACTGAACCGCTGCATTCAGTTCCTGCCTTGGTCACAGACAACTTCCATAGAATCATAGTATAGAATCATAGAGTTATTTAGGTTGGAAAAGACCTCTAAGATCATAAAGTCCATGATAGAATTAAAACCGTACAGGGTAGATTGTGCTTCAGTTTCCCATCAGTAATATCAAGGCAGCAATTCATCCCTTATTTTGCCCATTTAGAAAAGTCTTCAGAATCTCTAAGCAACTACAGAAGAGGAGGACGGGACTTTTCACATGAGTATTGCTCATTATCCCTGGGTCAACAGAAGATTTTAGCACTGCATTTTCATAACTGTGCATAACCCCTGTGTTGTTTTAATTAGACTTCATTACATGTCGCAGAAAACTCTTCCGTTAATAAGTAAGAGTATAGTACACATTGGGTTGCTTTAAAGTAAACAGTTTTGATTATCCTATTAGCAAGAGGATGAGAGTCTTAAAAAAACATTACTACACTTCAAAACAGTAAAGGTTCAGATTCATTTATACTGCAGTTAGAAAATAATTGCATTGACTAATTGTTTTAAATAACTTAATAATAGAATTATTTGTAATTTATAATTTTTATATATATTTATAGAATTTATAGAATTAAATAATCAGAGAATTAAATAATAATAATAGAATAATAAGATGTAGCTTTGTACATCAAGTCTGCCTTCTGAAATCTCAATGTTTGTTCCTTTGGGATCTACTTCAGTCTCATATCTTCAAACTTTCACTGGATAGTTGATGTCAGGTCAGCATCCCTAGAGAAAAAAATACAGAGATATACAAAGCCTGAGATAGTTAAGGTAGTTATTTTCTAGATTATGCATAACTCATTGGACTCTGAAGGGATTGTCATGACTTCCATACCCTGTAACAGAAGAATACACAAAGAAGGGGTTGAAGCATGATGGCTATCGCTTGGAAACTAGATTAGAGCTTGCAAGTTAGTTTTTGAAGGTCTTAGTTTTTGAAGAATAGTCTCTCTGAATACTGCAACCACAAGAAAAGCTTTGAAGGTCATAACCCATGTGAGTACTCTTCCAAGCAGTGCTGTTAAAGAGTGCTTTGAGGTGTTTTGCATTCACCGTGCATTAGCCTAGAACATCACTCAGAGGGTAGTGAGTTCTATGCACTAGCCTAGTTATTCACTCAGAGGGTGATGAGGCATTGGAACAGGTTGCCCAGAGAGGTTGTGGATACCCCATTCCTGGAGGTGTTAAAGACCAACTTAGATGAAGCCCTGAGCAACCTGATATAGTGGGTAGCATCCCTGCCTATGGCAGGATGGGTGGCACTAGATTATCTTTGAGGTCCCTTCCAACCCGAGACGTTCTATGATTCTATGATCACAACTACAAGTTCTAGTTCTACTTCTCATACTTCTCAGACTTCATTTCAAAATATGGCTAAACAGACTATCCTGTACCTGGCACACACACAAAAATACTCTCGGATTTAATTATCTAAGTTTGACTCTCAAGAAACATTCTGTGGATCACCAAGAACCTGCAGACTGTTGTGATTTGCCCAGAAGAACAGTACTACCATACGATGATAAAATGCTCTTTTAAAAAATAGCAGATGGTTTAACTAGGAGACCGATTTGAAAATAACTAATTGCAGACCTGGGCCCAAAAGGAATACCTTGCTCTTTGGCAACTATTAAAGCCTCCAATAAACTGCAAAAAAATCAGTATTCTTCCAAGCACTGATGTGCAAATACAGCCAGTCACTGAGATCCTTCAGAAAAGCACACAGTTAGCATCAATTCTGCCTCCTTTTGTATTTTAATCCTGAGATATAAATTGCTCTCAACAGGTGAACTTTTTCTCCAACATATGAGGGGAACTCAGCAAGTGGCCACAGCTCTGTCTTACACACTGACATTGTGTGAAAGGATAATTGTATTCCAGGTTACAAACTTTTTTAGGACTGAGAGAGTCTCTTCTATCTAAGCTTGAAAAATGCCTATAACAAAGGGTTCTCTGTCTATTGCATCTATTCAAATTGATACAAATTTTCATTGGCCTCACAGAACTCAAGCTTCTTTGCAAATACTAGTGTAAATCTGTAAGGAATCTAAAAGGCATTGCAAAACAATGGCTTGCTATCCAAAATCTGAAATCCTATTCAATAATGTTGAACATAAATTTCTAGAAGTGAACTTTCTCAAAGTGTCAGGTTTAAGATATGGGGCTTTGTTTCAGATGCATCCCTAAAAATAATGTTTACATCAAATCTGCTTAAAGATATTCTGAAGTGCTCCACTGACATTCGGTAAGATATACTTGCTCCCTCTCTGTATCTGTCTGTTCATCCATTTGCTTCCTCTGTCCCTCCCTTCTTCTCTCTAGTAATCATATGTGAAGTGACTCTGCCTGAAGAGCATGGGTGCTGATGCGAAAGGGAGGTTCTCCACCAAAACCATGTTCTTTTACTCTTTCTTCTTTGGCATGAAGCATATACCAATACCTATCTCATGTTGCAGCCTAAGTATACAAATGCACCAAAGTGAAACATCTTTTCTGGAGGAAAATTTCAAGAAAGGCCTAGATTGTTTCTGTTTTGCTTTTGAATGAAGAAAAAAAGACAAAGCATTTGAATTACCACATTATCTTTATTTGTAGAGCATACATTTTTTTGTCTTCAAAGCTTAGGACAGGTAAGATGAGTATGTTTTGTTCCAGTTTAAGAATGTTTTCTATCACAAAAGCACACAGATAAATGAGACATTTCCATAAAGCAGAACTGTAAAAATCAAGATTTTTGGAGTTTTTCACAGATGTTAATGCCCAGAATGGTTGGAATTCCTGCGCTGGCACAGCTATGATAATTCAGTAGTGCTAAAATGAAACAACAACAAAAAAAGATATTTTCAGTGACAAGATCCCTGTATCCAGAAAGGAAGAGTCAAATACACAAATTCATTCTCAGTTATGGCCCTGCTCAATGTTCCTGTTGGTCTCAGTTGATACTGTATAAAACTTTTATTGTGTAACTCAAAAGGAGGAAACACGTATATGGTTTTAAATCACCCCTGTGCTCCTTTCCCGTCACCTGCATAGAGCAGGTAGCATGCTGTCAAAACAGAAGATTTGTAGGACCATTGTACCGTTGGGGTGTAAGATGGGTACAACTGCTACACAGTGGCTTCCTCTGTGACACTAGGCAAACCACTCTGGAACAGCTGTTTCAGACATTTAGATGCTTAATGATGAAAAATGGTGCTTTACTGGATTTTCCAAAGCATCCAAGAGCCTTACTCTTTCAAACTTTCTTAGAGGTTTACTCTTCTTCCCTAAAACAGGGCAATATGTTCCTGCCTCACAAATGTGCCACATGGATTTAGGTCTAAGATAGAAAGGTGCTTATACATTGTAATGGAAGAATAATGTTCTGTTCTTGCTACTTACGTTGTTCACTCTTCACAAGCTTGTAGAGAGGCAGACCCTTGCAGAGTTGTTCAATGGGTTTACCATAGAGAAACCAATCCTTCACATTTCCAAACAGGGAATTGCCGGATTGATACTGTACCCACACATTTTGTGGAGAATACACTTTCTTCATAGTCTAAAGAGAAAATGTTAGACACCATCAGTAATGTAGCTTTGGTTTCTTGCTACTATAATGGCATGCTACTATGGCATCCATCAAGAAAAATGCCATGATCTAAAATCACTTCCCTTTGCTGCATACAAAACATTAGCTAAAGAATCTATATGTTTTTAAATACCTTTTTTTTTTTTTCCAATCTATTCAGAAACAAAGTATACTAGATATTAATTCTATCAACACAGTGAAACTGAGTTGAAGTTATAGTTAATAAATTGCTAATTGACTGCAATATAATCAAGTATTTTTCACATACATTAATCTTCCCACTCCATAAAAGGCACTCTGAAAAGCAAAATGAGAAGTTTTGCTATAAATGTACTATTGCTAGTCTGTCATAAGATGGACCAGAACTCAAGTTCATCTCCAGGCAATGCTTCCAGTCACCTTCATGAAACCTTTACCTGAGTAGGAAAATCACGGTTTGGTGATAGTAAACTAATTTCTAAATTTTGTTCTGCAAAGAATAAAATAATAATAAAAAAATCAAATGATATAATGATGTCAAGGACAAAATATTAGCATACCAATGAAAAAAAAAATCAATAAACCTTGTGTGATCTCACATTGAAATCTCCCCAAATTTGTCAAAATATGCCACTTCCTCAGGCATGGGATCTTACAGTTCTAGCTATAATGGTAATCTACTATATGCAAGGTGGGTCATGACTGTTTATTATTTTAAAAAGATGTTCTATATGATATTTCCTTGAAGTTCTATCTTGTTAGATCTGTTTCATCATTGCTAACCTAGTAAGAGATTTTCCTAAGAACAACAACTGTTCTTGAAGGCAGAATGGAGGGATCCCATCATACCATATAACTTGTACACAGTAGTCTTTCTTGTATACAGAATAGGTTTCTCTACAAAATCACCTTTTTCTCAAAAGCCAGGCGTCCAATTTCTTGCAGCTCTGGGATGGAAGCCTCAGATATTTTCAAAATAAAGCAAGCATTTCGTGAAAACAGCCTTGTTGCAACATATCCCTGTGATTAAAAAAATAAATAAAATAAAATAATAAGATAAGAAAAGTAATTCATTAAAAATAGTTACCACTGGTGTTTGTTGATCCTCCCTAGCTTTTAGGGCAATCTAGAAGAAATATGAAGTGGCTACGCTGACTGTCATGGTGGAATGACTCCTCATTTCCTCATTTACATTGTCACCTTTGGGGAACGGAAGCAGCCTGCTAACATTAATATCTGTCCATAAGACTTGAACGATCTTTTCCCATGGACTTCTGCTGTACTTACTAACTTTCTATACATGAGTGTATACAGCCAGCTCTTCACTCCCTTGCATTGAGGTCAATGATATTCTTCTCACTTTTGTGAATGACTACCATGTGTTTTACTACAATTCTCTTAAAAAAATCATCTTGATATGTGTGAAAGAGAGATTGCGTAAGAGGAGTAGAAGTGATGGGAGTCTTCAATGAAACAGTGTTTCAGGACAACTCATGATGGGAATGCACTAAAATAAATTCTCTGTGTTTATGAACTTCCTTAAAGAGATTTTTAGAATCTAGTCAGATTCTTAGATTTACTTACATGACTGTAGTCAAAAATAGTATCAGAGGAGTACACGCCAGAACGGACATGGACGTCAGCAAGGTTCTTCTCATTGCTGATAGTCATAGTTGCCGTGACATAATCATTGTTAGGTTCGTTCAGGACAAAAGTCTTTGGTAAAAAAACACAAAACCATTGTTCATCTGGTTTTCACTTTTAAAGACACAATATAAACATTTTCTCTCAAATGGACAATCATGATTGTTTTATGTACATGTTAAATCCATTAACAACTCTCTAGCAATCTCAAGAGGCCCTTGTGGTGGAGACTAATTATGAGAGATTTTGAGTCAGGGTGAGTCGGGAAGGGACAGGACCATACTGCAGGCTTTTGAAAACAGCATGTGACATACCAGTCATTATACATGGCAGCAGCAATGACTCAGAGAAGACTAAAAGAGTCTTCAAATTTTATCTTGAGCTAAGGGGACATATGCTCCACAAATTTCTTGTCACTGCACAGGTGCACAGAACTGCCTCTTTGGCTCATATGATTGTCACCTTTGGTAAAAGCTAATTTTCTCTGTGCTTGGTAATAAGCATTATTTTAGCTTCTTCTGTTCTTTTCTTCCTATTATATTCCTCCTTGCCCAGGAATTTAAAACATTTTAAACAAATATATGCAATAGAAGGCTTGTCAGTCTACTTACTTGCAATGCAGAAGTTTGAGTCCAAAAGACTCCCAGCAAAATGAAAATTGCAGCCTGTAAAAGGAATGAGCGTTCTCACTCAGAAGAAACAACATGCAGTGTCATACACAAATGGACAGAGTTAGACAAAAAACACTTTTTTCATGATTTGAGGGAAACAGTCATATTTTCAGTTTGAAAAATTACCCAATCCACATGTGTATTTTTTTAAAGCAATTACAGTTCTTCATTATAAAATTCTTGCTATCAGGCTTTCTTTTGCCTGTAATGGTAAAAATGCAGAACAACCATGACATTTTATGCTTCTTTCAAAAGTCACACCCTTTGATAACGTTACTTCTTTTTTGTCTCAAAAGTGGGAATTATTAAATCATAAATAAATCTCCTGAAATCAAGTTCTGCATTCTTCACTCAAATAATGTTTCCACTGACTTCAAGGAGCTTACTGCACACACAAGAAACACAGGTTTCCTACTGAACAACCAGAAAAAAAAAAAAAGAAAAAGAAACCACACCAACACAGAGGTCATATTAGCCCCAGTACTGTACTGCTAATTTGAGCATCTTCCTTTCTATACTTCTATTTTAAAAGGAACTTTTAATAATATAAATAAAATAAAAATGTATATACTCACAAATCCGTTCATTTTTTCCTTCAGATTAAAAGCAAAAGCCTGCAGAAGGTAAGAATGCAGGAAAACTCCAGAGACCTTCAACTTTTATATCTTGCAGTAGGTGTGGGAAATACTTGACAGAACAACAGAACTTCGTGATTAGAACAAGTCCATATCTACATGCCATGTACTTCATATCTGAAATTTTGGTCTGGCATAGATAACCAGATCTTGATATGTTAAAAGCAGTCGATACATCAGCTTTTGTGAGATTAATCACTCTCCAAATGGCTATTATTTACTGGTTTAAACTTTACAGGAGTTTCCACTTCTTCTAGTTCCATTTTTTAATATTTAACAGGATATTGTCTAGAATTAAATGGCATCAGGAACTCTGCTATTCATTCATACAATATGCATTTTGTCTTCTTAAATACAATCCCTAACAGCCTGATAGTCTGTAGACAAAGCCTGGAAAAAAAACCAATCACATACATTATGCCGGTTATGTGCCAACTACTAAATAGACCACCTTTTCAGACATTTCTTCTATCTAGCATATGCATGATCTTTTCTAAGAAGTACTGCTCGTTTTTGAACAGTTGCTATGATACATATCACATGCATTGAAGTTAGTGACGTAGTTAGGAATAACAATTGTGCTTCACAGACAGAATCTAGTTAACTGCTAGCCTAGGAGGGAGTAACATGAAACTTCAGAAGATGTGTGGTTCACACAAGGTCACAAAACAACAGAAACAAGATGGAGATTCCTCCTTTAAAGTTACAACTGTTTTCTATATTTTATGTCAAATGTCAATGACCACATGATATTGCCATGAGGTGTTCTCTCGTGAATTGGACCTTGCCTGGACTCCTCATCTCATCTGTGACTCCACATCAGCTAGAGCAGATAACCTTGATGAATCACAAACTACTTTTTACTAAAATGTCATAACTAGGGTCTATTCCTTCCAATAAAATGAGAATTCAGCCTAGAAGCCAACAAATTTCTGTAATCTGTCAGAGAATCACAGAATGGTTGACTTGGCAGGGAACTCTGGGTACATCTAGTCCAGCCACTGCTCAAGCAGGGCCATGCAGAGCAGGTTGTCCAAGACCATGTTGAGACAGTTTTTGCACATCTCCAAGGAGTAGACTCCACAACCTTTCTAGGCAACCTGTTCCTCTGCTCCATTACCCACACACTACAGAAGTGCTTCCTGATGCTCTGATGGAACCTCCTGTGCTCCAGTTTATGTCCTTTTGTCCTGGCACTGGGCACCACTAGCAGGGTCTTGTCTCTGTCTTCTTTGCACCCCTCCTTCAGGTATTTATATATTTTGATGAGATGACCATTTAGCCTTCTCTTTTCTAGGCTACAGTCCCGGTTCTCTCGGCCTTTCCTCATAGGAGAGGTACATTGGTCCCTTCATCATTTTTGTGGCCCTACATTGCACTCTTTCCAGGATGTCCAGGTCTCTCTTGTACTGGGGGCCCAGACTGGACGCAGTACTACAGGTATGGCCTCACCAGGGCTGAGTAGGGGGAAGGACCACACCTTTTAACTTGTTGGCCTGTTGGCCACACTTTACCTAATGGAGCCAGGAATACTCAGCCTTCTTAGGGGCAAGGGCATGCTGCTGGCTCATGTTGAACTTGGTTTCCATCAGGACCCCCAGGTCCTTTTTAGCAGTGATGCTTCCCAGCTGGGCGCTCCCTGCATGTCCTGGTGCCTGCGGTTGTTCCTCCCCAGAGGCAGTATGCTGCACTTCCCCTTGGTCAACTTTGTGAGGTTCTTGTGAGGCCATTTCTCCAGCCTGTCCAGGTCCCTCTGGATGGCAGCATGTCCCTCTGGTGAATCCATCACTCCTCCCAGTTTTGTGTCATCTGTGAACTTACTAAGGATGCACTCTACCCCATCGTCCAGATAATTAGTGATGATTTTAAACATTCATCAGTCATCAGGAATAAAAAATAAATAAAAAGAAAAGAAAAGAAAAAAAAGAATGAGGTTGTACAGAAATTATCTCTGCAAACACATCTCAGTATAAAAAGGAAATTGCATGCATTTGCTTTATAACACACAACTCTGTGGAAAATTTTATCTCAAGTGTGACAAAGCTCTGCTGCTAAGCAATATATCAGAACATATATATAAATAGATATGAAATTGTGACAAGCATGGTTAGATTAGATTAAATTAGATTAGATTGATATTATCCTGTTGAAAGCTGGCCCTGCCCCTTCTCCTCAAATGATTCTTTGTTTGTAGGTTTGCAACCTTTCACAGAAGGGTTCAGGCACAAGCTAAAATTAAAAGCTTTAAAACTTCTACTTTATATTCATTTAGAATGTCAATTAGTCAAATAAGCCCAAAGATAAAAGATTAGTTTCTAAAAAGCATTTTACTAATTAACCTTATTGCAAGAGAGAAAATAGTTCTAGTTGTCTCATGTCTGTAACTCAGGAAAAGCCTAGATATACCTCCAATAGCAAAGTCCTGCTTTTTAAAGACTTTTCCCCACACTGAAATTCATATGTCTCCCAGTAATATAAATGAAATTATCATGCATTCATTTGAAATCAAAAATATCCATGACCATGCCACAGTCCTCTAAGTGTCCTTATATATTAAGTAACTGAATTAATGAGCTGCATAAAAAGAGCTATAAATCGCTCTAATTTTCACATACACAACCATCACTTTTGCCTGTCCTCAGTCAGAGCAAGGTTTGGGTTAGGAAATAGCCCTCCTCCATGACACCCAAATTTCACAATCATACCCACTCTCTCAAGGCAGTCTTATTCCTTTGGACACTTTTGATCTAAGTGAAGACTCTCAAAGTTCTCCCCACATAAAGTGACTTACAATTGCAGACTGTTCATATCAGTACAGAGAAGCCTGGAGGAAATGGAAACTTAGTAACGTTCAGAACAAGCAATATATTGTTACAACACAGCAATGCATATTGTCAAAGGAAACTTAATTTCTCTGGTATTTTCATAAAGCCACATATTTTCAAATGCATTCTAATTTAAACCAGTAAAACCTGATTAAGTTACAGAATTACTCTTAATCTATGCAAGCAAAATTGGAAGAAAAATTTGACCCATTATTTGGCACCATCATCCACTAAAAAACATTTAAACAAAAGACCCTTGGAAACTGTATGAAAAGAATACTTCTATAATTACAGTTCATGTCTGATTACCAAACCGGAATTTCAACATAAAAGGGAGATGGATTTAATCAAGGTAATGTGGGAATAATACTATCAAAACAAGCCCTCTTGGTGACTAATTTTTTTTTCATGTGCTTTTGATAAATATTTGCTTTATCAGGGAGTGAGCAGGTAGTGGGAGAAAAGTAAAGAATGAAGCAACACCTCAAAAAGCAACAAAATTCTCTATGCTTATGTTTGCATTCAGCTGGGCATGTCACACACTGGATCAAGATGGGGAGACAGAGTCTAGAAAAATCTATGTGCATGGACAGGTCAAGCAGAATTTGTTGCATTCAGTAATTAAAAAACAAGCTTCTAGAATCTAGTAAAAATGCACTCTCTCTGCCTTCTACAATTGTAGGTAGTTTTGTAATCTATTCTAAATGTCAAATGCTCTAGCTATGTATGTTTCCCATACAACTACTTAAGTAATTAAAAGTTGATGGAAGATTTGGAGATTCAGGCTTCCAAATGTGACACATTATTATAATGGCCAAATTGGCTGTGGCTGTTAGAACAAATGGACCAAACTGTTTTCCAACTCATTACTAACAATACCACAGGGACTACCATTATAGAGTTCGGTTTCTCACTGCCTTTCTCAAGAACCAGTTGATTAATTAAATTTCCAGAGACCTGGAGAGGATTTTGTGACATTCATGACAAACTTTCTTGTGTATTTAGATCTTTGAGGCTAACGACATACCTGTCTCCATACAGCATCCACAAACCAGACTGATTAGAAGAAATAAATTGTTTTGCTTAGTAATTTAATACTTCCATTCACCATATTCTACACCTGGTGCAAATGGCAAAGTGGTAACAAAATGAAGAAGGAAAACATTTCTTCCACTCACCCACAGTGCTGTAGTCCAAGCAAGACAGTAGGATGAATTGAGGCCCTTACTGGTATAAATGAGAATTGGACCTCACCTTCTTAGCTAAAGTGAGATTCCCTGGCCTTGTCAATAACAGTTGCAGCAAAGATCTTCAGCAGCTGACAGCAGTGGAGAATTTCGTTCGGAGATACGAGTTTGTGAGAGAGTCTCCATCATGTCATTCTGGAAATGCAAAGAAAATGTAAGGGTGTAAACCCATCCTGAAATACTGTAAGTTGCAGGATTGATACACAGAGAAAATGATAGAGCTACTACTAAATAAGAACTGCTTTTTAAGTACTTAAATGAGTACCTCTTAAAGTGCTTCTTCTGTAACAAGCACAGGTAAGAAACAAATCCAAATTATCTAAGGTTATGTATGTACCTCTGTATATTATACAACAATGGAAACCATTCTTGGGCAACAATACATCTAAATGGGTTAATTAAAATATTAAATATTTGCAAGGTTTCTGCAGCAAACAAGGCAAATAAACTCTTTCTGGTGCATGACTGTACATAATTATGAAATTCAGATGAACTTTAAAAAATATACTTTCTAAATAACAATTAATATAAAATGTCCATTGTTACTGCTTCTCCCTTACTTATTTTCTTATAATCTCTAGTTTATGGCCCCTTTCTAGAATTAGTCTTTAAAGGCTAATTACAGATTAAATTACAGATTAAATCTGTAATCACATAGTACTTTTGTGAAGAGGTTCTGTGAAGATACAGAGACCAGGCCTCAAGACTGGAAAACAGATCCTAAAAGACAGGACAGTGCAGAAAAGATTCAGAAAGGAAAGAAAAAAAAAGGACTCAATAATTCCTATTATATAGATCCAACCTCATCATTTCAGGGGACATGAATTAAAATATTTTAGACCAATAGAGGTGGTAATCTTGCTATTTTAAAAATGTTATGAACTATGAATTAAAAAATTAGGCCAAGTTCTTTGTTATACAGGCACAAAATTTCACTATGAATTTTATTAGGTATCCATTTTCTGGTCCTGAATTTTTTTCCTTTTTGAAGTCATTATTAAATGCTTTGAACTTGCCATTACAAGTTTTCTTTCATCTTTCTGTATGTAATGAATTCAATTAGGCTAATATCAAGCCTACCCTTATCACAGCACTTCCACAGGAAACCCGTCATAATTCTGTGAACAAAGGGCACTTGCCAAGAAGGTAAACCCATTTTACTTTGGGATATTACTGTATAAGAAGTAAGAGTACACATCAATTACCAGCAGAAACTGCCTTGCCTACCATCAAAATGAAGTTCACTGTAAGTACATATATCACTTTCTCATAAAACTACTACTGCAGAGTTTTTAAACTATTTTGAGTCTTTCTTGGCAACTATTGAACTATCACTGATTTATGTAGGGTTTACAGAATAAAAAAGGCCAATTGGATTGTGACTTCATGGGTGAAATTTCAGTTTTGGCAGTGATTTCACTCCATAAGCTTACTCAAACATGAGGGAGGAAAGTGCTCTGTTACAAGGGTGAGAGGCACATATAAAATCATTTTTATTATTTTATATGAAAAGGCAATAAAAAAAATAAAAGGCAATAATAAAAAATAAAAATATGATTTTTATGAAAAGGCAATATTTTCTCATTCATAACTCTTAGATGCAATTCAATAGTCTTACCAAGTTGTATGAAGTTATGGCACACCTGCCTGTTGAGAGCATAAAGAGAGGAAGCATGAGTTTTGAGACACTCCAAGTGCATGAGCACAAAGCATAGAGGTATTTACAGCAGTCTGAAACTGTTGCAGGAGATATTCCAAAACATTACTGCTAAATACTGAGTCACACTTGGATATCACCAGTAAAAAAATTCTCCTTTGAAGTCTATGAAATTTGTGACCAATTCAGTTATTGGAGGGATTGTCTCCAAGAGAACAATTGTTCACAAAAATTCTTATTACAAAAAAATTTACTATTAAATCTTACATAAAAATATACTGGCAGTAGTTTTGACCCTAGAGAAATCTGAGCAACAACAAGCATGTGAGTCACTGAAACTGTAGTTTTACAAAGGGGTAGCAATGTGTAGTATTACTTTTTTTTTTTTTTTTTTTTTTTTTTTTTTTGCACAGAGAAGATTGTGCCTACCCTTACATTATTAGCTCTGTACTTAGAGGCATAAGATTTATGGTATGTTCCAAGGACAGAGCTGTACTTCACAATAGATGTGCATGTATGCTGCATGGATTTGCTCCATGTCTGAAACTAAAATGCTCAGAGTGAAAAGTTCATTTTTACAATGAAATACTTCAGTCCATCTTTTTCCAAGGAGTGTACTGAACTGGGGCTAGACATTTTAAAAATCACTAAGTTTAAATTGTATTTTTACCTGCACAGCATATACTGCTAAGAGTAAGAGTAATTTATATGAATTGATTACCTGACTTATGGTCATTTTAACAAAAAAATTCTTCTGCATATTTATATATTGATCAGACTCAGAATAGTGCTGATCATGTACATAAAGTTAAACAGGAAGTCAAACTTATTTGAGACACCAAATAACTTGATGCAAGATGAGCAGTTGCAATGTTAAAATATTGTGAATTCCAAATATTCCTTTCAGATTGTGATTGCTTTTCTTGGAGTTCTCCTGGCTCCAGTTCCTGCCGATAAGGTAAGTATAGTGCTAGATGCAATTATACACTACTGTCATAAGAACCAGTGGTCTTTAATTGTAACATCTGTAAAATATAAATGAAAACGAAGCTGTATACAAAATCTGACACAGCTTGAAACTGCATTTTTTATACTAAAGAAAATATATAAGTGGTGATATATCAGGCAAAAAATGTTAGTTTCTAGATATGAAATCAGCAACAAATTCTGTCTTGAGATTAGCATAAATACTGTAAAGTATTTATGAAAGTAATTGTGTGGGGAGAGACCAATGGTAGCATGAAGGATCTGATCACAAAATACAATGAAATACTATAAATTATTCTCTGCCTGCAAATTTCTCCCGGGGAAAGAATAAGGACAATTCATACCTTCCTAGACATTTTTCTTCCAAGTTGAACTCTGAATATTCATTTTCATTTTTAATATTAAAGAAAAACCATCCAGTGTTTAAAAGTAAATGTAAACTTTTCCACCTGGTCTAGTAGGCATTCTGTACAGAGTGGCAGGGAGGAAGGAATGGAACAGTAATGTTATTAAAGCTTGTCTGTCTTCACAAGGTAGATGCCATCAGATATATATGAAAAACAAGGCTTGATAAAGCCTGAATGTAAAGTTTGACACAAAAGTACTGATGGCTTCCCAGCCTCCCCCCTGAGGCTGGAATTTATCTCCCTTTTACTCTGGTCTCCAAGAGCAATTATTTTCCAAAGCATGGTTTCACACAGCAATAGTGTGAAAGTCCACTGAGAATCTCCAAACCTAAATCTTTACCTTCTTTAATCTTGTTCAAAAATCAGAACAGTGAGGAAAACATTAAAAGGTACCATGGTGGATATTCACACTCTCCTTTGGATGACACTGTAGTCGACACCGGCTCACATAAGCGCTCTGAGATCTGGAAAACTGTCTGGGACACCAAGACTGTAAGTGGCTGCCACCATGGCTCAAACAGCTTTTTCTCTCCTTCTGTGAAGATTATGGTGAAATTTGGCGCTGGGTAGAAACTGGTGTTACTTGATCTTCTCTTCTTGATTAAAATGTAAGATATGTAATAATAGCCAGAGAAAATCCGAGGAGACAATCAACCGAGTCATCAAGTTGTACAACTTGATTCCACGAATTCATCAAAGATCATATAAAGCTGCTTTTTCTCAAGCAGCTGAGAAACCTGAGTTAGTACTTAGATTAGCACTGGAAAAGAATCAAATGTTTTTCAAAAACACCTAAGCTTTGACAGTGAGATTTTAGAAGAGATGCTTTAAAAATGCTCTCACTTAAGCATTTTATAAATTCTGTTGCACTGTATGCTGCACTGATTTTCAGCAGTGAATTCCTTCACCTGGCCTAAGTAGGATCATACACATAGCATTAGTGGTGAAGGCAATTTATTTTACCTTTTATCAAAGTCCATTGTTAGTCTCCATGACACATTTACCTAAACAATATATTTGAAAAACATTATTTTCCTTCCTATGATTATTTGTATGTTCCCTTCCTATGATTATGTGTATGTTGTAAAGCCTTTTATTTCTTCTTTTTGTTTGTTTACTCAGTTCAGTGCTTCTCTCTAGCAATCCACTTCTCTTTCACTGTATATTTCACTGTATATATGCTGTATATATATATACTGCAAGAAGATAGAAGTTTTTGTTACTATTTTTTTGTTTGTTTATTTTAATAGGGCTACATTGCAACCAAGGTACTTTCAAAACAGACCTGCATCATTAGTAAAGCTAACACAGGAGTCTTGCCTGTTAATAGACGATTTTCTGCATCACCTCACAGAGACGAGGTAGGCTGATGAATGAAAGTGCTGAGAAAGCTAATTGACTGCCTGTGAAAAGCATTTGTTCTATACCTACAAAAGGGAGAAAAAGATCATAAACTGGAGTTTCTCAGCAGGACTGAGTCACTCTAGAAGTTTAGTCTCTAGTTTTCTTAAAAGCTGCATTGCACTTGAATAATCTCTTCTCCATTATGAAAGTGTGGATTTGATACTCTCTCTCTTTCTTTCTTTCTTTCTTTCTTTCTTTCTTTCTTTCTTTCTTTCTTTCTTTCTTTTTTTTTTTTTTTTTTTTTTTTTCCTTAAATGATGTATTCTGGGTTTTTTTATTTAACACTTAGGAGTCTAGACCTCAGCACCTTCCACCCAGAGAGAATCGTTACATTATCTCAAAAAATAGACTCCATAACTTGCGCCCATATGGAGAACGCATTCAAAATTTGTGCCAAGGAACTCCCACTTACTTTGCTTACCCAACCCCTGGTAAGTATACTAGTGTTTTGAATACCAAAATAAACACTAATAAGATTACAAATAAGGATTAAATAAAGGTTTAAGTGAAAACGAATAAGATAATTATTGAAATCCTGCGTTTTTCTGTTAGTTTTTATAAATCAGTGAGTGTGTAGTCTTATAGTTCTTATAGGAAGAAAAGCAGGTCTGCCACTCTCCTGCATACAAATGGATGATCATGCTACTTCAAGAAGGCTCTAGCTGTGGAAGAGAGTCTGAGATTTTTAAGGCAACTTCATGCATATATGTATACTGCATGCATATATATACACTGAATGCATATACATGTATATGTATATACTTCATGAATATATAATATACTGATGCCCTAGGTACAGGCCACAGTACAATTTTGAGACTCAAAATCCAATTTGCAGATTAGACTTTTGTCTAGGAAGATTGCACTAACAGTTGCTTGTACTATACATTCAGAAAAAGCACTTAGATTGTTAATTTGAGATTTTGGTAAATTTGACATTTTCTGGGGGAAGAACACGATGTTAGAAAAAAATCGCCTATGTTGTTCTCCTATTTTCTCACTCCAAATCTAATCAGCCTTTTTCTTTACTTTTAGGCTCAAACTTTTTAAGGCAAGATGTCCCATGTTTGAAAACTCACATGAAAAGAATGACATTTATTTACTGTGGTTTATAGATCTTTTCCTGGTTAAATTTGGAAGAAGAAATTAGAGCTGTGTACCCGTGAAGATGCTTTTTCTTTCTTTCTTTTTCTTTTTTTTTTTTTTCCCTTCTTTCCATGGTAATCTTATCTTGATCATATTTTCAATCATTTATCTGACTTCTTTTCTGCTCTCTGTGAAGCTTAGTGTCTCTCAGTAAAATTCATCATTAACCTACACTGGTCTGTGCTGTGTTTTTACTGATCCTTTTAAAAAGTAGAAGTAACCCCAAAGAAAAGTTCCTAAACTACCATTCCTGCAAAATCCCATTTTTGGCTTTTAAATCAGATCCTGTAGTATTTCCCAATTAGATTTCACATTACCATAAGGAATTTTTCAGCATTGCTAAAAGCAAATTGTGTTACCTACTGCATAACTATATTTGAAAGAATTAAATACAGTGGTATGAAAACAAGCATATTTCTGAGTTATTTTAATTTATCTTATTGCTACAATCCTACATTCTACAGTGTTTTATAAGGAAAAAATTATAAGCATTGCAGTGAATTATAGCCAATTGAAAATAGTCACACTATTGCTCTGATAAGCACAGAAATCAAGCTTTCAATAACAGTATTATTGTGCGTTGCTGAAATGCAGTCTGTAATTGAATACAGGTGTTATTTAACAATGTTTCACAAATATTTAACACAGGAAATAAAAGAACATACCCTAACCAAATAAAAGCACAGTTGGAAATTTTAGAATAGAATTGTCATTAGGCCAAAATTAAGGCAGAATGGCTGGGACTCATTTATACTGCTGGTCTGAAAGGATGAATTCAGTAACAAGGGTTAGCTGGACAATACCAGATCTTCACCTTTCTTCCTTGCTCAGATGCCCTTTCCCCGGACTTTGAGACAAGTTAACATGTGAGACACCTTATCATTCATGAAAATCAAGGGTTACTTTACAGAATCACAGAAGCACAGAATGTCTGAGGTTGGAAGGGACCTCTGAAGATCAACTAGTCCAGCCTCTTGCTGAGCAGGATCACCTAGAGGACATTGCACAGGATGGCATCCAGGCAGGTTTTGAATGTCTCCAGAGAAGGAGACTCCATAACCTCTCTGGGCAACCTGTCCCAGTGCTCCGTCACCCTCCCAGTAAAGAAGTGCCCCCTCATACTCAGCCGGAACCTCCTGTGCTTCAGCTTGTGCCTCTCATCCTCTCACTAAGCACAACTGAAAATAGACCAACTGGTTCTAATCTCTTGACACCCTCCCCTCAGTTATTTATATACATTGATGAGGTCTCCCCTTAGTCTTCTCTTTTCCAGGTTAAATATGCCCACTTCTCTCAGTCTGTCCTTGTATGACAGGTGCCCCAGTCCTCTAATCATTTTAGTAGCCCTAAACTCTGGACTCACTCCAGCAGCTCCATGTCCCTCTTGTACTGGGGAGCCCAGAACTGGACACAGTACTCTCCAGCAGGTCACTTCCCTAGCCTGTACTGATGCTTGGGGTTATTCCTCCCTGGGTGCAGGACCCTGCACTTGCCTTAGTTGAACTCGGCCCAACCCTCCAGTTTGTTGAGGTCCCTCTGAATGGCAGCACAGCCCCACTTGGGGAATCAGCCCCTCCTCTGGGTCAAGGATGCAGCAGCCTGTCCTGTTCAAATGTTTGTTAGCTCTTTACTAGTTAACTGAAATTAAAACCAAATCTTGACTGCCTGCACCCAAAAATATTTTAGCACCTCCAAAGAAAAGTAACCACATGGCTGCAGTATTTAAACAAAGCTTCTGTCCGACTTGCCTGGTGTTTTTGGAGAGAATTCCTTACTCTTTTCCAGCTTTATCCTGCATTTTCCCTGAGATAAACAGGCACAGCACTCATACTTATCTGATAGCTTGTCACTGGGAAATATCTCTCCAGGGACCTTATAGCCCCTGAAGACTATGAGCCAGCCCCTGTGGCAGATGATGATTCTGAGTCCCATGAGGCAGCAGAGGTCAGAGTGGACATGCAGAGAACAGCAACCATACGAGGTCCAGAGATACTCTCTTGCTCAAGCCAGAGCGTCAATAGCCTTCTCCCTCCATAAAAGAAAAATTGCCTCCAGTTTACATGCACAAAACATTGGGAGCAAGGTCCAGCTTCTGGATATGCTAATTTAACTTCATGCACATAGTTTCCAGCTATTATATTATTACACATTGCAATGCCTTTGTCCAAGGAAACTGGCCTGAGAAACTTCAGTTAACGCTGTGTACTACAGTATCATTTCACAAACTTTGTAGATGAAAGAGAACTGTTACTGAAGCAATTAAATATTTTTTTTTCCAGACCTTAGGAATTTAACTTCAGTATTACATTCTGACTTGTTTCTTGCTCTAATCAGGATGTCATTACATTTCACAATGTACATTAGTCAGGTTTAAACTGATCCAGGTTTAAACTGTGAGTGCCATAACAACAACAACATCACATTAAAAGGTCTGTGTAAGTACAGAGATATATAGCTACTATTAACAGTGCAGAAAATTGGAGTTGCTTTCAAGAAGAAATCCTGCCTAAGAAGGAACAGGCCTGAACTTTATTGGCAAACACACTTTCCATGATACACAGTTTAGATTCTTTAAGGGCAAGCCATCAGTATGCCACATCAGCATTATAAAGCAGACGGTTTTAGCTTGTAGCTCTATTTTTCCCTTATGCCACAGCAGGCAGAGTATGAAGATTCAATTGAATTTACATTTAAAAAAAAAAAAAAACACCTGAAAAAATGTATTGACAGAAAAAAATTCAAAATCATGATTTGAGTTTAATTAAAAGGCCATAAAATAATCTAATAAATGAACTTCAATAAAATTCAAGGTACCAAGAAAACCTGATGTGTGAGAGCTTTATTATTACAAAAAAAAAAAAAAAAAAAAAAAAAAAAAAAAAAAAAGGATAATATTCACAACTGACACCCTCAACAAAGCAACATAATAACAATAACACCAGGCTTCAGGGAAAACCAAACCAAACCAAATCAAACCAAACCAAACAAAACCTCCACAAACACAAAAAACTATGGGATCCCAAGCATGTGCCTGGGCTACTCCCACCTCAGGCTGCTGAAGTGCGTGAGCTGCTGCCCTTGCTGCTAACTCAGGTTTTTCTCTGCCATTTTTTGTGGCCCTTAATCCCATCCCTGTCACACATCCACTCACCCCTCAGAGCCCCACCCGACACACGCACACACCCCAGGAACCACTTCAGGACAGCTCTTCTGCCCTCTGCCTCCCTTTTCTGCATCTTGACAAATGCAACCTTTTTCATTCCTCCAGCAGAGGTTTCATTCCTGTCGAGCAGCGTGAGAAGGCAGTTCCCTTCACGCTGCTTGCGAGGATCTTTCTCTCCCCATTGGCGCCACAGGCAAGTAACAAGTAGTGTGGTCTGCCCTCACAGTCCCCAGAGAAACCTACATTTTCTGCCCAAATCCATACAAGCACTGTTGCTTGTAAAGAATCAAGAACGTAACCACCATTTTGCAAAATACTATGCATCAAAAATCTCCCCTACGATTTGCAGACTTGACTCAGTTAAACCAGAATTTGATCTAATATTGCACTTGTATCACAGGTTAGAAGTGATGGAGGAGAGAGAAATCCCTTATTTTTTTGAAAGATGTGCTGAATTGGGGTTGGAAAATAATATTGGAATTTTTACAGTGATTCTCTGTTATAGACTCAGAATGCACTGATTGCATCCAAACCTAACAGAGCAAGTTGAGACCAAAAACAATTATTCAAAAACCACCCTAAGCGAATCATCCATTCATACAAGAAACGTTTACTTCACCACAGAAGATAAGCTGGGGGAAAGTGAAAAAAGTTATTGCTGCTACCTAGAATAACAAAGAGACACCTGTAGACTCATATGTTGCTGAAATGTCCTATTTATCACAAAACAGTTTTCAGTGGCAATGTTGCATTTGAGCCATATATTTTGGTGAACCCTGTGATTATTTGGTAAAGTACAGTATGTTTTAGATGGTGCAAAGCCTCCAACTTATTTGTATTTTGTCTAATGTAAAGTTGTTTGGTTTTTTTTAAACCTTAGGTTATCTCTGGTCCCCAGTTTGATGTAGATTTTCAAAATTATATAGCAAATATGTCAGAAAGTTATCATAAAACACATTTCCTTTTTCACTGCAAATGGATTCTTATCTGATAATTTTGTCAGACTGGCAGGCCAGAATTTGCAGAAGCACAACCCCTATATTTATGAAATAGTTATAGCAGGAAATAATGTCCAATGACATACAAACTTGGATACAAATTACTAGATAATTTTATTTCAATACTTAGTCATTCCACGCCTAATTTTGAGGACTAGCGTATATAAGGTGGATGGTTCACCTCAGTCATTCCATCTGCACTTGCATCAGCTCTGCAGTCAAGATGAAATTCACTGTGAGTATACATGCTATTTTCTTATAGACTAAAACTCTGATCTATAGCTATTGCCTTTATACCTCTTAAATGCCTGTGTCTATTTATACCAGAAAGTTACTCTCTGGGGAAATTTCACTCCTCAGAAGTTGCAGTTTAGACCATATTAACCTGAATAGATGAAGGGATAAGGATTTTTGTAAAGGTTTAGTTATGCGCTATTCAACCTATGCTAACCTTAGTGTGGCGTCCATTTTTGTCTATAGCCTTTTTGCAAATCTGGAGCAACACACTATGGATCGAACAATTTTCTTGTGATGCCTATGCAGAGGAAATTTAAACTCTCTCTCCTCACTCTTGTAAAATATCTGTATATTATTATGTAGACCTCTGTAGCAACTTCAGATTCAGCTCTTAAAAATGTAGACTACTGACGTGTACTTACTTTACATTATTCTGGGGTAAAGCAAGAATGACCCACTTTAGGTGACTATTGTAAATTCAGTAAGAAAGCAAAAAATATTCAAGAAGTACACTTCTACATCATTTTAAGAAAAAGCCACTAAGATTCTCATGACAAGATCCATCAGCCAGACCTGCAGCTACATTTTCATGTTTTCAATGTTATTTTCAGATTGTGGCTACAGTCCTTCTTGGACTCTTGCTGACTCCAGCTCTTGCTCAATTCGTGAGTATAGTTTTACATACTACTGAGCATACTACTTAGTATAATTTTATATTGGTGCATTTCTACATTCCCTGCTTCTTGAACATCCCCCTGCCTTTAGGGGAAAGGAATCTAAGATTTTTTTCATGCATAAAACTCTGAAACCACAGATGACAGTTGTAAAATACAGAAATTATTCACTGAATCTATTAAAAGATTCTTAGAGCTATTAAAGAATGCCTTACTCTTCTGTCATTTTGACAATATGGTGGTTGCTAAAGGCATGACTTATGGGCCAGCATTTGTTATATTATAGCACTGCTTTTCTAAAGCTTTGAAAAGATAACTGACTACCACTTGAAAGTCTAAAAATGTTAATTTTGTCTTCTAGTTTCAGAATGTGAAAGGAGTCAAGAGACAACCCATCTACAGGAGAATCAGTGTTGGCACTGGCTACCAAATTCTGACCATCGATAGTGAGACCCTTGTGGCAGTTGTTGAGGACAAAACAACCACTGAATCATGGAAAACTGTTTTGAACTATGATACAGTGAGTGGCAAAGAGCATGCTTTTCCAGAGGATTTATGAGGAGACTAGCTCCTACAAAGCTGACTGAAATAGACTGCTTGTTTCTTTATTCTTAACATTTTGAGTCCAAGTTTTGGGGTTAAAACTTTCTATGTTCATTACTTTGATTTTTAATACAGACTTTATTTTGATCTCTGTTACTGAAAAACTGAATTTCTAAGTCTCAACCTTTTTTATACAGGGCTACATTGCAAGCAGAGTAGTGTCAGAGAATGTCTGCTACATTTCTAGAATGGACAGAGTCGTGATGCCTGCTCTTTCTTCAATTGCTGTACTTGCTGAAGAGAGTAAGGTAAGATAAAAACGGGGCAGTAACTTGTAAAATTGAACAGTAACAAAAACTAAATTCTAAGTATGGGATATTAGAGATCTATTTTCAACAGCTTTTAAAACAATATTTTCTTAAAAGCAATCTGCATTATCATGAAATTGTATCAATTTCAATGACATTGTATATTAACATAATTTGAAAGCTTTGAAAAATTAAAATATCTTGTTCTAGATACTTGCAAGGGAGGTTTTACTGTTTTTGTTACATAGCACTTAAAATAATTTTATAATGATCTAAAGGATTATGTACATTAGATTATCTACATTTTAATACTGTGTTATATTTTAAAAAATAGTTTTTTAGCACAATACTCTTCATAATCTGACATTCGTTGTATAAGAAAAAAAAAAATCTAAACTCTAATTTCTAAAAATACATTTTTTAGGAAGCTCTAGTTTGGGAACAGCAACTAGTCCAGTAACAACAACAAAAAATTTAGCTAAAATGTCAAGCCCTTTTAAAACTTTTTCAAAAGAACTAATGTCCATACTAGCATAAATCCAGCCCACAAAATTAATGCAACATTTTCAAAAATTTCAGCATATTAACCTTTTGTAGACATAGACTCCTCCTAAAGTCTGAGAACTAAATTCTTATAAAAATCCAGGCTTTAAAGGGAAAGAAGTGTTTGATGGGGAAGAAAAATGTAGTTATATAAGTTCAGATTTGAGCAAAACCTTTCACGTCTATAGTTCCAAGCTTGCTTTTACTAAGATGTATATCTGTGCTCTCTGAAGCCCTCTCAACTCACTGCTTACCAGCAAGAAGGAAGTGTATTTGAGTGGGCTTTCAGGAACCTTTTGATAAAATTCCACAGTAATTTTGAAAGTATAGAACAGTCTCAATAATCCTTGCTAAGTGTCTCTTAACTGTGGAGTTTATCAAACTGTTTCTTAAGAGTATGTTTTCTCTTTCTTGAGTAGACTAGGTTGTTGGAAGTGGCATGGTGATGTCTTTTTTCAAAAGAAAAAGAGTAGGTGCATTCTACCCTTCTACCCTCCCCCTAGTCTACAGTTTCTCTGAAAAAGTCTGGGTTCTGTAGTATGCTAAGAAACAATTTATTTTAGGAAGCTTTCAGCGACATTATTTTTGGATGGCAAGTTACAAAGATGGTTAATTCTGAGTCACTTCAACAAAAAATTGCACTTTCCATTTTGGAATATTGCTTTGTGTGTGCTGTTGTTTGAATCTCTGTTTTCCTTTGAGGTATAAGAGGGCATCTCCCCATATTCAGTTCAACCTCATATTAATGGTATGATTCAGAACAGGAGTTCTGTGGCTATAGCTGAATAATGAATACAAACTAGCAGGAAGCCTAGGTCATAAGAGAAAATACAGGCATACAGAAACACTGTCTAGAGGACAAAGTAGGAAAATTTGTTTTGGAAACAAAGCACCCTGGAACAGTTCAGAGAAACTATCCCATTAAAATATTCAGCAGAGTTCCCAAAGAGGTCATAAAAACAGCTTGTGAATTATTTTAATGTAAATACATCTGCCAACTGTTGCTACTGCCCTCCTTGGTTCCAGTTTTAGATAACTGAATAGATTTCTCTTCCCACTCTTCAAGTATCTCTACGGTAAGAGGTTAGGAACTGACTGAGAAAATACTTGGGGGGGAAATCTGTGTTAAAATACTGTCTGCACTTCTCTTTTCCTATGCAGCTACTTAGTGAAGTTTTCCATTCTCTTTAGCCTGCTTCCACCTTTACTCCCTTAGAAAGATCTGTCCTAGGAATTGTCTTCAGCACTTACTAATGGTCTCATATTTTCACATCAGTTTAGAAGACTGCACTAAGCAGAGTTTTGGTAGAACATCAAGCATTCACTCATCATTCCAGAAATAGGAACATGCATAACATTTAATGGATCAATGCACTGATCTTGTTGAATGATCTTATTTGATGTTTAGAACGTGAAAGGCGAAAGAGTGGTTTCAAGGAATATCAGATACGTCGTCTCAAACAGACGTATCCGTGACCTCAGTTCCTATGGATCAGAGATCTACAGTCTGTGCAGAGGACTCACAACTTACATGGCTTATGAAGACCAGCAGGATCTGAGTAATCTGGGTAATCAGGGTAAGTGTGATCATACAAGTTTCATGTGTAACTAAGCAAGTGATTTTGTTTCCTTCAGAAATACACAAATACTGCTGTTACAACTAGAGACAGGCACAAATTAGGAGTTGCAGGAAGGGCTCAGTATTAAGCCAAGCTGCTTCATTCCCTGTAGGTTTTTCTGAGGTAGAGTGATTACAATGTAGGAGTTTAGTGGCCTCAACTTTATAGGCTTGTTTGATAATGTCAAAGCCTGACAGGACCTATTAGGTAGCACTAACATAACTGTACAATACACAGTAATATACACTAACAGTATAGAGTATCATAGTGCCCCTTAGTACTAGAAAATGTAGAGAATATTAAATAGCATATCTTTGTGATCCTTTTTATGAGTTAAAGGTCCAATTGTATTTGGTAACTACAAAAGAATCTTTCACTCAGAAGTCAGTCCTGCAGCATCAGCAAAGTACTATGAGCCTTATAGCAACCTGACTGTTTGTAAACACTATCATGTGAGACATGCTCCAAAGATCACGCATAGGATGTTGCATTCTGACATAGCAGTATTTACACTTAGTGCTGCTCACCTGGCTTTGGTAATTGCTTTGGTATTTGAAATGGCCCAATCTGAATAAGAATGCAAGTGCAATGTCCCAGGTATTAAGGGCTGCCAATCATTTAAAAACATCTTGGGTATTAACTCATCATACTTTCTTTTCTTTTTTTTCTTTAGGATCCCAGGTTTGGTACAACCCAGCCTCTTGCTACAGACTTGATCTCCTGAATCTTTTGGGCATTGACTACTGTCAGGCTCAGGTTCCGGTTCAGGCTCAGGCTCAGAACCTTTGAGCATCGTACCTTTCTTGAACCTAGTAAGAATGCTCGGTAGCTGAACAAAGCCATCCCTGATGATGTTCTTCCCTGACATTACATCTCTCAAGAGTTTTGTTCTTCATGATTCAGATGTTGAAACAGATCAATCGGTGATAGTATCTTTCAAATAAACACCTTTAGCATGGATGAACTGTGGCTAATTTCTCATTACTACACTCTTTACTCTTTAAGATCTATGAAAGCTTTCAGAAAACAAACTAAAACAAAACAAAACAAAACAAAACAAAAAAACAAAAAAACAAACAAACAAAAAAACCCACTCCCAAATCATAAAATGGTTTGGTTTGGAATGGACCTCTTTAAAGATCATCTAGTTTCAACCTCCCTGACATGTGCAGGGACATGAGTGGTGGTTTCACACTGGTGAATAGCTCAGCAGCGCTGCACTGCTCTCTCACCCCCACTCCACAAAAAGACGGGGGGAGAAACTAAGATGAAAAGCATTACCAGATTAAGATAAGGGAGATCCCTCACTGAGTACCATTATGGGCAAAACATACTCAGCATGAAGGACATTACTATAATTTATTGCTTACCAATAGCAGATTATAGCAGTAAGACCTAAAAACAAACTTAAAAATACATTCTCCCTGGATTCACCTTCTACTGCCTCCTACCCCCACACAGCTCAGGGGAACATGGAATGGGGGTTGTGGTCAATTTATAGTGGCTCATCTCTGCCACTCCTTCATTGTCACACTCTTCCCCTGCTCTAGCATGGGGTCCGTCACATGGGATACCATCCTTCCTGCACTGGTCTACCATGAGCTTCCCGCAGACTGCAGTTCTTCAAGAACCGCTCCAGTATGGCTCCATACTAGAGGTTGCAGGCCTTCAGGAACACTCTGCTCCAGCATGTGTTCCCCATTGGCAGCAGCTCCCACCAGACCTCCTGCTCCACTGTGAGTGCCTCTCCACAGGCTACAGTTCCAGCCCAGATTCTTCTGCGTGGGGTCTCCACAGGCAGCAGTGTGGTAATCTGCACTGACATACAACACCATGGGCTGCAGGGGGACAGCCTCCTCCTCCAGGATCCTCTCCAGAGGCTGCAGGGGAGCTTCTGCTCTGGCACCAACACCACCTCCTGCCCTCCTTCTGCATGGACCTTGCAGGGTTGTTTCTCTATATCTTCTCATTCCTCTCTCACAGCTGCTGTTGCACAGAGGTTTTTTCCTTTCTTAAATACACTCTCACAGAAGCACATTTGAGGTCATTCATTGTCTCAGCTTTGATTAGCAGTATGTTCCTTTTGGGGCCAGTGGGAACTGGTTCTTCTCTGACATGGGATATCTTCTGTACTCTTCTCACAGAGGCCATGCCTGAAGCCCCACCCCCACCCCAAAACCTTGCCACATAAGCCCAATACAACAGCTTCCACTAGACCAGGTTGTTCAAGGTCCCATCCAACCTGATGTTCAACACTTCCAGGGATGGAGCATCCACAACTTCCCTGGGCAACCTGTTTCAGTGTCTCACCACTCTTATAGTAAGGAATTTCTTCCTAATATTTAATCTAAATCTACCCTCTCTTAGTTTAAAATCCTTAAGCTTTGTCCTATTACTAAACATTCTGGTAAAAAGTCTCTACCCATCTTTCTTGTAGGCCCCCTTCAAGTATTGGAAGATTGCAATAAGGTCTCCCTGAAGACTCAACAAACTTTCTGAGGGTGCACTCAATCCCACTGTTCATGTCACCAATTAAGATATTATGCTACATTGGTCCCAATACAGACTGCTGAGAGACAATGCTTGTCACTGGTTTCCAACTGGACATTAAGCAGTTGACCATAAATTCTTGTATGCACCCATCTAGACAATTCCTTCCCAACTACCCACCCAGTAGTCCATCAATCAAATCCATATCACACCAATTTAGAGACAAGGATGTTGTGTGGGAATGCATCAAAGGCTTTGCACAAGTCAGGGTAGATGACACGAGCTGTTCTTCCCTTGTCCACCAATGCTGTCACTGTCATAGAAGGCCAACACATTAAGTCAGGCATGATTTACCCTTTTTGAAGCCATGTTGGCTGTCTTCAGTCACCTCTTCATATTCCATAGGCCTTAACATGGTTTCCAGGAGGATCTGCTCTGTTAACTTACTGGGCACAGAAGTGAGGATGACCAGCCTGTAGTTCCTTGGATCCTTCTTTTTACCCTTTTTAAAAAAGGGTGTTATGTTTCCCATTTTTGCTGTCAATGGAGACTTTATCTGACAACCGCAGCTTTTCAAACATGATGGATAGTGGCTTAGCTACTCAATCTTCCTCTTTCTTCGGGACCCTGGGATGCATCTCATCGGGTCACTTAGACAGTTCATATTCAAGTTTCTCAGGTCTCAAACCTGATCTCCTACTTGGGGTGGGATTCATTCCCCCAGTCCCTTTCTTGAAGTTTTATGACTTGGGAGGTATGGAAAGAGCAATTGCCAGTGAAGACTGAGGCAAAATATTGAGTTCCTCAGCCTTCTCATTGTCAGTTGTAGCCAGGTCCCCTATCTCACTCATCAGAGGTACACAAATTCCTTTATCTTTTATTCTTTATCTAATATTCCTTTTATGTACCTGTAGAAACTCTTCTTCTTATTCTCCGTATTCCTTGCCAAGTTCAGCACCAGCTGTGCCTTGGCTCTCCTGATCCCATCCCTACACTCCCAGGCCATATTTCTATAATCTTCCCAGGATGCATGCTCCTGCCTCCACTGTCTATGCATCTCATTTTTGTATTTTAGTTTGGTTAAGAGGTCCTGACTCAGGGATGCTGATCTCCTGACTTCCTTACCCAACTTCTTGCATGTTGGAATTGAGAGCTCCTGTTCCCTAAGAAAAGTGCATTTAAATATCTCCCAGCTCTCTTCTGCTCCTTTATGCTTGATGACAGTTTCCCAGCAGGTCCCATCCATTCGACCCTTAAAGAGATGAAAGATTGTCTTCCTGAAGCTTTGGGCCTTGACCATGCTTTTGCCCTGCCTATATCTCTCAAGATTATAAATTCTAGTAGACCTGCAGTTGTTACCCAGACTACCTCCAATCTTGACCCCTCTAATAAGCCCTTCATTGGTAAGCAACAGGTCCAGTAACACATCTCCTTTGTTTGTTTGTTTGTTTTTTATCATCTGGACTAGGAAATTATCCTCAAGGCACTCCAGAAGAGTGCTTGCAGTTTGCCATTCCACTTTTCCAGCAAATGTCAGGGTAGTTGAAGTCCTCTATCAGAATCAGTGCCTGCAAACATGTTGATTCCTGTACTTGAAGAAAGAACTCTTCATCAGCACCCTTTCCTTGGATCAGGCAATCTGTGGTAAACACCAAACAAGAAGTTCCCTTTTCTGGCTTGATCTCTAATTTTTCATCTGTAAGCTCTTGAACTGTGCATTGCACAGAGCTGTGACTGAAAAACAACAACCCCATATTTTGTGTAGAGGGCAACTTCCATCAACATTCCTTCCTTGCCTGTCCCATTTGAACTGTTTATAGACATCGATTGCAGTGCTCCAATCATGTGCTTTATCCCATCCAGTTTCAGTGGTAAGCATAGGGCTCAGCCCCCCTTAGAACATGACAAATACAGCATTAAATAAATGCTTTTTCTAGTCCTCTCAAGAAAGCAAGCCAGCCATGAAAAACTAATTCTAAAACCTCAAATATCCTGTCACAGACCATTCTTCACCTTGACTTAATTTTAGGGGGACACAGAGAAAATATTGAGGAATTTGTTTCTTTGCCAATTATTAGAATTACCATGAATCTTCACGAGGCATACAGAACTGCTAAGAGCCTAACACAGTTCATCAGAGTTGTCAACAACTACAGATAGCTGCTTGAAAATATGCAAGAAAAGCTGAAGAGGCCATTGCCATGTCATAACTGTACACTGGGGAATGTTGTGTGCCCTGTCCAATAGGTACAAGGTACATTGGGTGTGAATTGGCTGAACAGTAGGACTCAAAGGATTGTAGTGATTGGGAATACATCTGTCTGTCATCCAGCCAATAGTGGTGTTCCCCAAGGCTCAATCTTGGGGCTGGTTCTATTCAATAATTTTATCAATTATCTGGATGCAGAAGTTGAATGCATCTTTAGTAAATTTGCTGATGATACTAAACTGGGAGGTGCTTTTAACTCTGTGGAGGGATTAGTGCCTTGCACAGCAATCTAAATAGACTGGAACATTGCACGATCAGCAAAGGCACAAAATTTAATGAAAACAAATGCCAGAGTCTGCACCCGGGACAGCATAATGCCAGACATAAGTACAGGCTGTGAGACAAATGGTTGGAGAGCAGCATAGCAGAAAGGGAGCTGGGGGGGTGCTGCTTCACAGCAGGCTCAACATGAGCCAGCAGCGTGCCTTGGCAGCCAAGGCTGCAAACTGCATTTTGGGGTGTGTATAAACAGAATAGCCATCTAGTCAAAGGAGGTGATTCTTCCATTGTATTTAGCATTGCTTGTCCTCACTCTGGGGTACCGTGTGCAGTACTGGGCTCCTCTATATAAAACAGATGTTAAGATACCTGAATGTTTCCAGGAGAGGACAACAAAGCTGGTAAAAGGGTTGGAAGGCATGTCTTATGAGCAGAGGCTGAGGACTTTGTTGTCTTAGGTTGTCTTGTTTGGAGGCTAAGAGGAGACATTGCTCTCTACAACTTCCTGAGGGGGGAGAAATAGAGGAGGTGCTCATCTGTTTTCCCTCCTATCTAGTGATAAGACACATGGGAAAGGCTCAAAGCTGTGCCAGAGGAGGTTCAGACAAGACATTAGGAAAACTTCACTGAGAGGGTAGCTAGACAATGGAACAGGCTCTCCAGTGAGGTGGTTGATGCCCCATGCCTGTCTGTGTTTAACAGGCATTTGGCTAATGATCTTAATGACATTTTTTAACTTTGGGTCAGCCCCAAAGTAGTCTGACAGTTGTACTCAACCTTTGTAGATTGCTTCCAACTGAAATTATTCTATCTAAACCCTTAGACAGATATTAAAGTATCTGATTGCACCTCCTCTACATTTTTGAGCCCATTTGGTATTCTTAAAAGCTGGCTCTTAAGACAGGGCACACCCTTAAGAATGGGCAAGCAAAGTACATACATTACAAATATTGCATAGAGAATTAAGACCTTCC